TCCGTCGAGTGTAACAATTTGTAGGTCACTTCTTTATCACATCTGCCTTACATGTTTCGGTTTAAATACAACCATCATCAGAGGCACATAGTACAATCATGAAAACACTGTTGTTGTTTAAGATGTACACAGTTATGTTTGCTGCGTGGACGCTGCTACAATATGTCGACGTGTAAAAGCACAACACTTGCTAGGATTGTTGAATGCACTACCAATTCTCACATTCCATCCGAAACTGCCCTCAAGTTAAAACCCCAATATTAAAATATTTAAAAAAATTTTAAAACATTTGATGTAAATGTTTTAAAAATTTTTTTAAATATTTTAATGTGAGAATTGGTAGTGTATTCAACAATCCTAGCAAGTGTTGTGCTTTTACACGTCGACATATTGTAGCAGCGTCCACGCAGCAAACATAACTGTGTACATCTTAAACAACAACAGTGTTTTCATGATTGTACTATGTGCCTCTGATGATGGTTGTATTTAAACCGAAACATGTAAGGCAGATGTGATAAAGAAGTGACCTACAAATTGTTACACTCGACGGACTTTCTATTGACTTTGTGATTGATAGTGTAACGGACCAAAAATGAAACAATTCAAAATATCTTCTCAATCTCCATTAGCCGTTGCTTGGCATTGGCTTTCGACTGCGGGTGTTCCTCTTCCTCTGGGTTCCCGAGCTCTCCACCGCCTTAGCTACCAGCTTATCGCTTCTCAGAACTGCAACCCTCAACTGCCTCAGCTCAGAGTCAGCGTTACTTTACGACTGGCGCTTTACCGCAATCAGTTCGTCTAGATGCCAAGCCCCTTGAGGCTCACAACCAGAATTTTTTTTAAACTGAACCCTTGCGGTCATTGTCCTTATGTAACATCCTCTCTGACGCGATGATGGGTTTGTCTCTTATGAATATACTTGAACTTTCGTAAAGTGTGCGTGTCGCACATATAGCGTGGTATTGAAAATTCTTCAGTGTGCACTATATGCAAGTCTTCTGTCAGTCCAGGCTTTGCAAACCAGATCTTGCCTCTCGTACTTATTCTGGTTTCCCTTCGGTACATAAAAATCATTCGCCTTTTGCTCAACCAACAACGGAACTACTAGTTCTTGTAGCATAGTGCCTCAACCAACTACGCTACCACGTGCCTCCTAAGAGAATATATGTATAGGATATTTTATTTGTAGATAAAAATTGCATAGATAATGTACGGTGGTAGCGAGATGTAAACCATTAAGATTGTATTGTAGTTCATTAATTAATTATAAGGGCTCTACTCCGTAATAACCGAGGGTTACAGTATCACAACTTAATATAAATTCATTAATAATAATAACAAAAAAAGTAAAGTAAAGCTATCCCTGTAACAGGCCGTGAAGTCCCATAGGGTTGTGAGACGTTGAGAGTCCCACACTATCTAGACAATCGGCTCAAAGATGGCGGTAAGGTTGTCAGCCTTACGCGCCGGCCTCGCTTTACTCCCCAGGAAACTTATTTAATTAATTCCTGGTACTCATTTCTGTTAGAGGCTGAGTGCGGCNGGTCATTGGATTTTTTCAATTGACCTAATCCTTCCAGCCACACTATGGCCCTGGGGTCGACTCAGCCTCAAACAGCAATGAGTACCAGGAATCTTCCTCGGGGGGGGGGGTAAAGGGCGGCCGGCGCGTACGGCTCACGGCCTCCACGGCCTGCATCAGGGATAGTTTTACCTTTGTTTTAAATAATTACTACAAATCGGTAATAACAAGTTTTATGGAGATACTGATTATATTGGATTTGAGGGTCTTATAGCGACGACTGTATATGGCACACGATCTTGTGGGTTGTAACGTCGTGTAGCTCGGTTCCTCCTACACGTCAGTGGACTTCTCCCAACCTACGCGGCATTGCAACGCAGAAAATCGTGATCTTCATGGCGATTATACACGTAGTTTTAGTGTGAAGATAGGAACCATATTCGTAAATCGAATGCGGTTTGTGCGGCGTGGAGAAGTACATCTCTTGAACCGAAGGAAGAAACTAGGTCCTCCACACGTGCACACGCATGCGCACAGAAGGTGACGATCAAGCAGGAAAGGAAAGTTGAGAGTTACCTCACGACATGAAAATATTCACAGCTCAATGCCTGCTTTCATTTTACTGGCATTTAGGACCGGACATTCTGTATATTTCATGAGTTTCTGTTCTTCAGGTTGTTGAACGCGGCTACAACGAAGTGATGGTCCTGGAGGACGACATCCGCTTCGAGCCGTTTTTCCGTCAGAAGATGGCTCACATGATGGCCGAAATACATGAGCTGCACATCGACTGGGACCTAGTGTAAGTACCTTACGTTTATTTATAGTTTATTTAACTACTGTCAATAGCTCAGAGTATTGTAGGGGGATTGGGTCTGAGGAGGATGGGGGTGGGAGCTGGCCTGGGGTAAGTTGAGGTACTATCTCGGTATTTGCCTGGGTGGTCTGAGGAAAACCACAGAAATCTCAGTCAGAATAACCGGTCTGCGTGCCGAGATTTAAACTCTGGACCGTCTGAACATGAAACGGGAATGAAAACCAGTCGACCGCAACCTTCCGTAATGTGAGTCTCTACACAAAGTGACGTAGATAATAAAAACATCTGGGAAGAATTAATCTCCTGTTTTCTTTCGCTACAAATTCAGTATTGCCTCATGAAGATAATTGAGGAGCTACTTGATTGGAAAAGTAGCGGCTCCGGTCTAGAAAACCGAAATTAACGGCCGTAGGGTTTCGTTCCGCTGACCACGCGACACCCTCTATCCGCTAAAGTTGGTACTAACTTCGCCGACAAGAGGCGGTCGCTCGGTCGCTTGCGGACTAAAGCAACGGAGTTTTCTTAACAAAGTGAGTATTTGATAGACTGATAGCACAAAACTGGATTACGTATGCGTAAATAATTCAGTAAAACAATAATATATGATTTACGTAACAAAGTTTCATCCAACCGGTTCACATATTCATGTAATATCAAGGTTATTATCTCGAATATTTGAGAGGCCCAGGATAATCTCTTGTGTAATAGCAGTAAATGCACGTGTTTCGTAAAATGCGGCGAATTTCTTGAGCAGCTGAGCTACTAGTAGCTTCTCAAAAAGGACCTTCTTCATGTAATCAAATGTTTTATGTGGCTGTGAGTGTTATTAATTTCCTGAGGAAGTTGTTCCTTTGTCGTAAACCAATTTGTGATGGTAATCTCCGCTTCTCTGTTGTTCTGCACTGTGAACACCCACCAGCTCACGTGCATAATTACACTGCTTTCGTTCGCTGAACTTCTTCATGTAATTGATTTCAGCCTATCCTTTCAGAGCATACACTCAGAACTTACGCAACGCGTATCACCTTCCAATGGCTGCCTCTTGCGGCCTTGTACACTATAGATCTAATTTAATTTCAAATTATATTATTGTTGCTCTCTCGTCACCGGAATGCATGGCAAAATCATGACATAAAGATAGCTAACAGATGTTTTGAAAATGTGGCACAGTTCAGATATTTGGGAACAACGATAACAGATCGAAACCTGATTCAGGAGGAAATTAAGAAGAGATTGAACTCGGGTAATGCTTGCTACCATTCAGTCCAGAACCTTTTGTCTTCTCCTCTGCTGTCCAAAAACATAAAAATTAGAATATACAAAACTATAATTTTGCCTGTGGTTCTGAATGGGTGTGAAACTTGATCTCTGACATTAAGGGAGGAACACAGACTGGTGGTTTTTGAGAACAGGATGTCGAGGAGAATATTTGGACCGAAGATAGTTGAAGTGACAGGACGTTGGAGAAAACTGCATAATGAGGAGCTTCATCACTTCAGCTTCATCAGCCAGAAGGAAAGAGACCACTGGGAAGACCAATGCGTAGGTGGGTGGACAATATTAAAATGGATCTTAGAGAAGTAGGATAGTATGGAATGGATTGATCCGGCTCAGGATAGGGACCAGTGGAAGGCTCTTGTGAACACGGTAATGAACCTTTGGGTTCCATAAAATGCTGGGAAATTCTTGAGTATCTGCACAATTGGTGGTTTCTCAAGAATGACAAACTTTTATTAGGGGTCTAAATGACGGAAGATGAGATGGACGGTACATTTAAAACAGATGACGGACATAAAAAATGCATGCAAAATTATAATTGGGAAATCTGAAGGTAAGGGACCAAAGGGCGAACTAGACATTGATGGGAAGGTAGGAGTAGCACTGAAATGCAAATGCAAATTGAATGCAAGTAGACACTGATGTGATACAGATTCTCTGCAACAGGCTCGAGGTACGTTCCAATGGCGGGCTTTTGTGAACAAGGTAATGAACGAAGAGGGCTATCTTTTGGGATAAAACGCCATGGCAGACCCGCCGCCTGCTTTCATGCTAGTATCGTGATTATCTTATTCGACCCTGAAGATGGAGGCGATATGTTCCTGTGAAACGTATGTTAATTTTTAACGGGCTATACGGCTTTATCTCCCAGAAGACAATCATCGTCATAACCACCGCTGTATAAACGTAAAATCCTACAAAGTAATGAACCTTTGGGAAATTCCTTGAACTCTCAACCTGCTGTGAGGACTAGGCTCTATGGAGTTACTTAGCTTTCTCTGGGCCCCCCGCTAAAACTATATTAACAGCATTTGCTTATTTGCTTCGCGTGTAAAGGCCCGTGACTTTGACGTGCTTTCAGCAAAGATTTACTCCCACACAGAAAGAACACCCACCAATACAGAAATTTGTAATTTCTGACCCATGACCTTTTCGAAGGAAATGGCTTTTATAGCCCTTGAGCCAGAACATTTGTGATTATCAGAGGTTATTCCTTTGTGCTTAAACGTTGATAATTGAATTGTCTATTAGTTTTACACATATCACGTACTCTGAAGTGAGGACATTGTGAGGTTATTGTAATAGAGTTGTGACACGGTGCATTGCTTTTTATTATAAATTGTTTATATATAATGTAACTAATATAACCTATATACATTTAACTTGTATATAAATACAGACAATGAAATTTAGTCTTCTTAAAAATTTTCCCCCATTTTCATGGGCTCTTCTTTCTCATGTCGTTCTATTATCGATTATTCAGTCCTTGCCTTCATATAACTCCCTCCCTTCGCTTTATACATACTTTGCAGCACAAAGTATACGAAAATAAACAAAATAACCTATAATGTTACATTATGCAATATCTGAAGTTTTACGAATATTGGCTTATGGCAGAGAATACAAAGCACTAAGCTACAGACAAAGGTCTCAGTTGAAACACACGAATACGCCACATCGATTCCCCCCTTCGCTTCTCTAAACATCGTAACATTTCAGTGTTACATAAGATCCAATCTGAGCAAAGCGTCCTGATCATATATACAGTAAACAAATTGCGAGATTAAATCCGGGCGTTTGTTAACTAACTCTCCGATAATAAAACACGAAGTTTCAGCATCGCTGCTAACAAAGGCGGTCACTATGTCCGATCTTGTTAAAATCTGTCTTAATGATGTCTTCCACGTCTCGTTTCTGACCTTCCGGCTAGAAGCTTTCCACATTGTTTTCTCCACCAAAATTCTGCATACGTTTCTTGTCTCCCCCTATCTATGTTATATGTCCAGGACGTCTTAATATCCTTGGTTTGATTGCGCTAATAATAATAGGCGACATATGTAAATTGCAAAGTTAAATGTCTGTACCAGTCCAAATAGCTATTGTCCGTAGGACTTCCCTTTGAAACACGTGTATGTTCTTGTTTCAAAAGGAAGCACGTAGTTTCGTATTCATACAAAGTAACTGATGAAAATGTCGTTTTATATACCTACATCGTTGCTAGTTTGTGAATTGCAGGAGACAACAGTTTTTGAACTGCGTAATAACAAACACTTCTTTGTTTACTAGGATTAATTTTATTGATATTGTCATCATAATTATCATCATCGCTGGCAAAACAGCCCTTTTTGAACTATGGCCGTAGAATATTCTGCCAGATTATATCTGGTTTTCACTTCTTTTAATTTCGCAACAGTATTTTATTTTGCAGAGCTAGATCAATAGCCCTACGTCCAACCCCCAACCTGGAGGACCAGGTCCCTATATTTATGTCCTCCAGTGACAGGTTGGCCCAGTTGTACCCCCTGGCACCGGATTCCATTTTCGTCACTTGCTACGACTCGCAAGGGTACGGTGGAGGTATTCTAACGCACCTCCATTTGAGTACATTTTATTGTTACAGTAAGGTAATGTACAGAACTACCATCCAAATGCATATAATTTACTTGCTTTTTGATGGTAAAATACTATTACATCGCGACATGTTTCGGGCATAACTTGTCAATCTTCAAGGGGATCCAACTCATACTGACGGAAACTGCAATATATATACATAAAAGAGTTAACAAATCTAGGCCACTTGCAGGACATGATAATATGTATGTAAAGATGTAAAGCTATCCCTCTAGCAGGCGGTGGAGGCCCATTGGGTTGTGAGACGTCAAGGTTCCCACATTTTCTACACACTCGGCTCTCAGATGGCGGTGAGGTTGTCAGCCTTACGCTCCGGCCGCACTTTAGCCCCCAGCAATATTCCTGGTACTCATTTCTGTTAGAGGCCGAATCGACCCTAGGACCATAGTGGAGCTGGAAGGATTAGGCCAATAGAGAACCCAGTGATCACATCGGGAACAGATCCCGCGACCTTCAGATTTGTGGCATAGTGCTTCTCCCAACCACTGTACCGCGTGCCCTCTGTGACAAGATATGTATTTAGTTAAAACGAAAGCGGCCTCCGTAGTCTAGAGGTAACGTTCCCACCTCATGACTCGTGGTACGCGGGTTCAAATACCCGACGGAGGTCGTCGAATTTTTAAGGGCGGAAAAATTCAGAGAACAAGTCCTCCGGGAGGGACTTTAAGCTGTGTGTCCCGTGTCGTAAAAGAACCGCCAAATTCCAGGACGTTTCCCGCCCAACAATAGTCTCTAAGGCCTCTGATAGATGGGGAAGCATTATAGACACCGCTAAGCAAGTGGCCGAACGCGCTTGCTCGGCGGGACTGATGGTAAGCACCATTTATCGGTAGGGTATAGAGACTGGTAGAATATCATAGAGGGAAGCACAATAGATGAAACTGGTCGCGGTGCATGGGGAAACCCACCCTCTCTAAATAACTAACTAACTAACTAGTTAAAGCGATCAGTTTATGACCGAAAGACGTCGGAGATGCAATAACATATGATCAGTAAAACGGAAGGAAATTTAATATACTTGGATGGTGATTATTTTAACATTTGTTCCATTTGTTCTTCTGTATTTCATCTTGATA